AGTAGATGTTACTATTTGGGCAATCACCTATGTGTTTGAAACTCTAATGAAAGCTATGAACTCACTTCAGAAAATGATACAAATGCAAACACACTAAATTATCCTATTGTACAAACACAACTACTGTCAGCCTATGGGTACACATCGCTTAGACCTTCATGACTACTTATGGATATGTAGGTGCATTTCTATAAAACCATCTGTTAGTTTTATGTGTTTACATTTATGTGTATCTGTGTACATATCTCCTCCTTCCCACAATGGCTGATACTTGGTCATTTGCAGCAGCAGATACAAGTGCAGAGACTGATGATATTCCTTTGGAAACCCAAGGTGCTGTTATATTCAGAATTATTTTATTAGACTAGGTGTGTGTTCCTTTGAATATCTGAATATCTTTTCGGAATAAAACCAGTGTTTTTTCTTAATTATATCTAAGTAAAACTACATACTCATAGTAAAAATTTTAAACAGGACATAAAAATCTAAGAAGGAATGTGAAAAATCAGGTAAAATTCCAACAAGAGTGGAGGGGCTGCTGAGAAGCCCAATAACAGAATTAATGCATTCATCTAATTTAGTAGTGCTACGTGAGCTAAATTGGAAAAGAAAAAGCCTAGAAACCAGGAAATCAGTTAGACAACCATGCAATCATCTGACAAATAACTAAGGCCAAGAGGAAAACTCACCAGCAATGGCAGTCAGAGCCAAGTTGTGTTGAGCACCTAATTTGTGCAAAACAGACACACTCTGAAGAAAATTAAAAAGGCATGTCCTGTGTGCTTTAGGAGCTCAGTATAGTGAAAGAGACCAGTTCTGGCATAACTGAGGTTCACAAAACATGGCCAGGGAATTTGTGTGAATAAGACTAATCCCTAGTACATGTTCTTTTCCACCTTCATGCTGTGTTGAGAAACATTTGAAATCCTCATTTTAGATTTAGGGTTAGGGGATACTTCGTGGGCAAAAGAGAATCACTATATCAAGCCTATTGTTGTATCAATGTTTATGAAACCTTTAAATCAACATAAATCATTTCATTTTGAAATGCAAAGAGAGACAAAGGTTTCTACAAAATGAAAGGTTCCAGAGATATAGGTGCCTGAGGGTGGATGTAGTCTCTTTTAAAGGCGAAGCCTCATAAAACATTTATCTCTTGGTGGCTGTCTGGCCAGAAAGGTCAGGCTGGGGTAACATTTGCTAATGATTATCTAAGTACAGAATTGTGTTGGAATGTGTCTAAAGCTAATTTTCAAAGCAGGAGTAAAACATGAGATTCATTGAGAAGACAATACTTATTTGAAAACAAAAGGAAAAAATAATGAGTGAGAGAGAAAATATACAATTATATAAGTAGTTGGGTTTTCCCCCCAATATTTTAGTTTCTGATTATCTGGAATATTGCCCAATGAATTCACTTCTTTGTATGAACAAGCAACATAAAATAGTGCATTTGTTTTATTTTCTGTGCATTTGTCTGACAAAAATTAACTATAATGACATGTCAAATGTAGGACAGTTAGAAATGAAAAGTTAAATTGATAGTATTACTGTAACTTTATTTGGTGTTTTATTTTAATGTACTTTTCAAACAAATTTTGACAATATAAGGAGGGAATATGGAAAACAAAACTTTGAGAATACACACATGTTAAATCATTTCATACTTAAATCTGTGTCTTATTCTTCCACAGCTACTGAGGCTAGATCAATTTCTAATGTTGTCATTCTAATAATACATAATAGAAATAAATCTTAAAAGATATGCAAATAAGTATTAATGTATGACTTATGGAAACTTATGCAGATTTCATATTGAACTGCACTGCATATTCCCCATTTTAATTTCACTAACATTAGCTAGTCTTTTTAATAATCTAAACACAACTTCTAAGCTGGGAGGGGCTGCAATTCACTTTTTGATTCCATTCCAAAGTTCCTTTCAGAGTAATAAAAACATTTTCTAAGGAAACAGGATGACCTTGCTTCATTATTTAAGCAGCTCAGCCTCTGTTTTTTTCCAAGCTTACCATAGAGTTGACTTCAAGGACATTTTTTTCATAAAGGTTTTTAGAGAAGGGATGATGTCACCATGGAAATTGTCAGGTTTGATTCTTCCTCAGAGACATTACTCTGTGCTAGATATTAGGAAGGAGGGGCCCAAAGACAGAACTCTTCAAAGATATACCTAGATTTAAACCTAGATCCACATCTGGTCTTTCTTGGGAAAAGACTTTGCTTTGAAAGTAATTCAGAAGGACACAGAAATTTAAAAGCAACTATAGATATCTTTCAGTGTCAAAAATACTAGGATAATAAATCACTACAATTAATTCAGAAAAAAATTAAAATTGAGTGTCATTACATTATACATTTAATTTTAATTTTGTTTTAGTTTTCTTCTGGTGAAGACATATGGCTCACTAAATCAAATAAAGTATATATGCCAAAGTTATGTTGAAAGTGAATGGTCAAATAGGGTGTGAGGAAAGGATCTAGAATATACATATAATTTCTCCATCTTGTCCAAAGTCCCAAGTTGATGGATAACAATACATCATCCAACTTCTGTTCTAAGTTTCAAAAATGTAAAGGTTCTGGGTAAATTGAGAGAATAAATGGTATCTAAAAAGAGCTTTGGGCCGGGCGCGGTGGCTCAAGCCTGTAATCCCAGCACTTTGGGAGGCCGAGGCGGGTGGATCACAAGGTCGAGAGATCGAGACCAACCTGGTCAACATGGTGAAACCCCGTCTCTACTAAAAATACAAAAAATTAGCTGGGCATGGTGGCGCGTGCCTATAATCCCAGCTACTCAGGAGGCTGAGGCAGGAGAATTGCCTGAACCCAGGAGGCGGAGGTTGCGGTGAGCCGAGATCGTGCCATTGCACTCCAGCCTGGGTAACAAGAGCGAAACTCCGTCTCAAAAAAAAAAAAAAAAAAAAAAAAAAGAGCTTTGGTCATATGATTAAAAACAAGATGTCAGCGTAGATTGGGTCTGCAATCTACACAGTCAACCCAATTATTTGGGTCAGATGTCCATATTAACATTTAAGCACCTCCAAATCCCAACTCTTTCTCATTTGTAAAAAAAGAATTAAACTATATAGCCATCAATTCTATTTCTTTTCTGAACTATGGTAAGACACTTTTATTATTTATTCATCTAAAATGTTCCAATTGCATTTTAGTTTATCTCTCTTTCTACATTTTCTCACCTCAGCCCACCACCTTCCCACTGTCCATGCAATGCAATTTTCTTTCTCTTTCTTCCTTCCTTCCTTTTTCTTTTTCTTTCTTTTCTTTCCTTCTGCCTTCCTTCCCTCCCTCCCTCTTTCTTTTTTCTTTTCCTTTCCCATTCTTTTCTTTCTTTCCTTCTTTCTTTTTCTTTTCTTTCTTTCTTCTACTTCTTCTTCTTCTTCCTCTCTCTCTCTCTCTCTCTCTCTCTCCCCCCCCCCCAGGGTCTCAGTTTGTCACCCAGGCTGGAATGCAGGGCAGCCTCAAAGGATCCTACGTCCTCAGCCTCCCAAGAAGCTGGAACTAGAGGCATGCCCTACCACATTCAGCTAATTTTTGTATTTTTTTGTGGAGATGGGTCTTGCTATGTTGCCCAAGCTAATCTGAAACTCCTCGGCTCAAATGCTCCTCCCACCTTGGCCTCCCAAAGTGCTGGGATTATAGGTGTGAACTACTGTGCCTAGCCTCATGTGACTTCTTTAATGCCAAGTTCTTCATTGACTCTCTTTGGTTCTCAGCATAGTGTGCAGGCCCCTGATCTTCTCTGGCATCTGTTATGATGTTCCCATGTACACCTCAAGCTATTCCTTCCAGAAAAACCTTTATTCTAGTTCCAAATACTTAGTAGCTCTGCTAAGCTAAAAGGTCAATTGCTTAGGCTTAAAACCTGGGACTTTTGTTTTTTTAAATAACCCTGTCTGTTAGCTGTTAGTTTATCAGTTCAAAATCTTAAATATTAAAATTGTAAGATATGAACAAATACAACTTTATGTAGTCACTTTTATTTCAAATTTTTAAATATCAATCTATTCAACAGCAATTCCTAAAGGATCTTTGCTCTTCAACTTTTTTATACTCACAAAAAGAACTAACTACATTCATTTCAAGCTCAGTGTCTTCACAGAGTAAAAACAGAGAGAGTCAGAAAGTCAATCTGAATTTGAAAAGATCTTTCTTTTTCAGAGTTTTAAGGTGGATCCTCAATTATGTCATGTTGAGAAGAATTTTATTCTAGATGGCTAACAGAAGAACTTTTGTCAGTAGAACTGACAAAATGTGCCTGGAAAATGTTCAGCTATTTTGAAAATAAATGTCAGGACGTCAGCTCCCCTTCTCTTTCCTCAGGCTATCATTATTTGGCCATATAACTAACTCATTAGCACTGGCCCTATATATTAACCCCATGAGGGATGCGTAAATAAAGTGAGGCAGAGTCTGTTAATTGGCTTTCAGTGCCTTAATGTCACATACATAAGAAAACTTAGTTTGGTTTTCTTCTTCAATGTTACTTTTTCAGTTGGGCAATTTACTATAGATTTATAGTCACAGTCATAAAAAAAACAATAAAAAAAAGTAATTCTATCACTTTTCAGTCAGTAATGCTGGCCAACTGAATCTGACATAGACAGTAGAGAATGTATACTTGCTGGAGGAGAGAGGAAGCTAGCATTCATAAAGCCTTTGTCATTTTCCCAGTAATAGTAACTTTCTAAAAGGCTCTATCACTTATGTTCTGTCTTCATTCTGCAATCTTATAGTGTATACAGTATATCTAGTATATACAGTAGTAATAACTTCAAGGTTGTCATGGAATGTTCAAGAACAAATGGGCTTTTTTTGTATTTGCATTTATTAACTTATTACACCTGGCAATAATATGAAAAAAAGGATCAAACTTATATAGCCAGTAGTTATATAATTTTCATTTAAGATCCCATTGTCACACACATTATTTAAAGTAATTCAGCTTATTTATTAATTTTTTTCAAAATATGGAACTCTTCATGAATTTGCGTGTCATCCTTGCATAGAGGAGATGCTAATCTCTGTATTGTTCCAATTTTAGTATATGTGCTGTCAAGTGAGCACAATTGAGCTTATTTTTTACGCTACCCTAGAAGTCAGTTTGAAGATGGATTTAGTGCATAGATGGAAAGAAGGAAAGGAATTAGACTTGGGGAACTTTTTTTCTAGCCCATGTAGTTCTGTAACTTATTTATGCAGATAAATCAAAACTCCATCTTCAAGTTAGTGACTTCAAGATTTCTCTGTAAGGATGTTTATCATGACATTGTATATAACAGCAAAAAGGTGGAAATACTTGGATGTCTAACCCTAAGGGATTGATTGATCAATATAGAATGCTAATAGGGCAAGACGTTAAATAGCCATTTCAAGATATTGAAAAATATCATCATAAGTAAGAAAATAAGATAATAAAATATTACCTTATACTTACAAAATAAATATGCACATATATATTTATTGTGTGTGTACATATATATATAGTAGAATATATATTTATATGTATGATAAATATTGGAAGGACATGAACAAAAATGGAAATATGGTTTATCTTCATGCCTTGGGATTATAGATGGTTATTAGCTTTTCCTTTATACTTAGAGCATTAAAAAAATCTTTTACAGTAAACATGTTACAGGATTACTTTTCTAATACGATAAAGAAATGAAATATATTTTAAGTAATATTTATGTCATTCAGGAAAAAATATTTTTAAAATATGTGTATACATATGTCTACATGTTTGTATATATAAATATATACACACACATAGATATTTATGTACATATATAATTTAAGGTATATCACTGAAAATGTCTTGTCACACAAAAATGCATCTGAACCTGGGTTGATAGGATAGTAAATAAATGATCAGTAAAATAGTTTTCATTTTTATTTTGCACTCTGATTACTTCGCAAAAGCAGAAATGAGCTAGTGCCTTGAAAGTTTGAGTTTCATAGCCTTGCCCTAATCTTGTAGCATTAATTCAAGGTTGGATATGTTTTCAATTTTCCTTTTAATCAAGTCTATGAGCCAGAAACCAGGAAAGGAGATCACTGCAGCTGAGCTGCAGTTGTAGTTCCTTGCCTTCAAAATTGAAGATCAGGCGTCTCAGGAGTATAAACTTCATTTAGCCCAAAACAAGAAAGAAAAAAAATCAAATTATACCCCCCAAATATACCCACACCTTCACCTCACAGTGTTTCCTAAGATTCAGTCACCATTCTTAAAAAATATTTTAATATGAGAGATAATTTTACATCTACTTTAAAATATCATGTAACTACACGTATATTTTAAAAATAGAAAATGAAAGAGAAAAAATTCTGTAATTTCACCATTCTAATATATCACAAATGAAATTAGAAAAATATTTGTATTTAAATATAATGATTAAAAAACAGCTCAACTATATGAGTTTATTCATATCATTATTACATCCTCATTACAAACCTGAATATTTAAATGTACAGAATAGGTAAAATGCTTTTGTGTTTTCATAATAATTTTTAATTGGCTCTTGTAGCAAATGTGTGTTCATGTTATAATTTTCATAGTCCCCTATATTTTCCATTAAAATCACAGATCGCAGTAAGTAGATGTAATTTCATAATTTTATTTATTAACATATCTCCTTAATAAGATTCTAAGAAATTAGAGTATGAGGACTATCATAGCTTTTGATTACTCTGGTATCCCTGGCACCCAGCTCAGTTATTGGCACAGAGTAAGGCTGAAAATGAAAGAATGACAGTTATCCAATGAATGAATAAGAAGTCTCTTCACTTAATCAGCATCATTTGGTCCACTTTGAGTCTGCTATCTACTTTTGAATCAAACATGTCTTTTCATAGAGTTTCCTTACATTCTTTCCTTGAAAATTTATTTTAGGATTATTTTGTTTAACCGTATATTGCAGAGTTATTTAAAAATATGCATTTTACAGGATGTAAATGCATAATTTACATCATGTAAAACTTACACTCACAGGAAGTCTGGATTTCAGGGATCAAGAGAGACATCCATGAGTGCATAATACTTGCCATTGTGGTATAATGGAAACACCAATATACCACAATATGTGATTGTAGTATACTGGAAACACATACTCTGTAATAAAATTAACCTGGGTTCAAATGCATGCTTGCTTATATACTTGTGTGATCTAGGATAGGTTATCCTGATTTCTTTGAGTGTCAATGTAAACATCGATAAATTCAAAATGTATGCAACTTAACTGGCCAAGGCTGTAGCTGTAAATAATAAATAACATGTATATAGTACCCGGTACATAGAGAAAATTTTCATAATATTAGTTCCAATCCCTAACAAACTCAGACATTAATACTAAATAAAGAACAAGTGACTGTGGTTTTCTACTTTGTACAGGATTTCATATTTTATATCCTATTTAGGAAATGATAACTGTGAATAAAATAATTTGTAAAACTCATGCTATCTATGGAGTTGTCCCAGGATCATGGACTGCTTTTACCAAAACAACAAATAATTTGGTCCTGGAAGAGTTTCTTTCGTAGCATAATATCACTAATATAAATCACCTTCAGAGAAAAAAATTGCAAGGCACAAAGAAGCTACAGATATAGTGAAAAAATCATTAATGATGATAAACATAAATTAGTCAAGCAACAAAGTTCAGATATTGAATTATGAGAGTGTCGACAGTTTGCCATTCAAAGCAGATGGCAGAGATCTTGAAATCACATTATAAGTAAAGTAACAACATGCCTGCCTGTGTTTTTGGTTATGTACTGCCAGGGATTTGAATCAACTGAAAAAATATATGATTTATTCAATGACACACTTACGTTATACCCAATTGTTTTATCAACAATTAGTGGAGATTTATACTTCACAGGTATTCAGCCGAAGTTAACTGCGTTCTTGGCATTAAAAAAAAAACAACACTGTAGGGTTTATGAAGCAATTAGACTGCATGTATGCTTCTTATAGTCATTGACTCCCTGAATTTTGTTTTTTAAGTAACCTCTTATTTTATTCAGGGATAATAGGAAAGAACATGTAAATAAATAAACTTTGCACACAAAAATCCAGATATATGAAACTTTGAACATATTTTCCCACAAAACTAACAAAAATAATACTTATTATTAGTCAATAAATATCTACCACTTTACATGAATGATCCCATTTAATACTTACCACAACCCTATGAGCATGGTTCTATCATTAACCCCAATTTGCAAATGAGGAAATCTGGGCTTATAGAAGTTGAGAAACATAACTGAGTTCAGATAGTTGGTAGATTGGCAAATTCCAGTGAATGTGCTATTCAACCTCTCCAAAACCTATTATCTTAACTCTTCCCACCCTGGAACTGCTGACAAGAATTCAAATGAAATGATTAGAGTGTTAGGCCATCATAGATATTGAACATTAATGATCAACAAAATAACTAAAAGATAAGTAATCAGAGGAGGGTATAACAAAAAGCAGCCTAGTGCATAGACTTTACAAGTGAGGGTGACCTTTAAGATCACTTTGTACAGTGTCCTCATGATAGAGTCCAAGATAGAGAAGATAAGGAAGATTGAGCCCAGGTCACTTTCTATGGCCTGACATCTTCTCATAATATCATTGTATAAAACCCTTAACAATATGTATTCCTAAACAGCTAGAAAATATTCCATCCTACTTCTGACCTCTACCTTGATTTTGTAAGAATTCAATAATTTAGACAATGTGTAATGTAGCTTTCTTCTTATTGTTCTGAAATAATTGCCATGTCAGTGAGACCTATGCTTTAGTGATCAGCTCTGTGGAAAAGGAAATGAAACTTTCTATGAATGGGGTAATTTTCTTCTCTAATGAAGTAAGAAAATAAGCAGTTGGTGAACTAATGTTTAGCATATTTATAGTCACTTCCATGCTACTAAAAAATGATACAATATCCCATCTGCTTGTGGCTGCATAAGGGGTTAAGAACATAATTGACCTCTACAATCAACATTAGTTCCAAAACACCTGGTTGTGTAAGAAGGGGAAATTTGCGAATTCAGAACTTGCTCCAGGAAATATCTTCAGTTTAACTTCATCTTCACTCCATTTTACTCTGCGTACTCTCAGCAATTACATGTTCAATTGTCTTTCTTGGGCTTTTTTTGCTTTCTAGATACATGCTTTTATTTTTCTACGGACATATTTGTTCTCTTCAAACTATTTTGTCTCATGGTTTAGCTCTGTCCTATCTTGCTACTTAGTATGTTCTTGCTCCTTCATCTGTTGTTGCAACATTTTGCATATCTGACATATAACTCTAATCTAATTCAGAACAACTTGATATTTAGGGAACTTGATCATGCAGTAATTCATGAAGTATTTTTTCTATGACAGGTCTATGTTAGGAACAGACCATACAAGAAGTCAATATCCAACTCTCCCATAGTTAAAAGTACTTAAAATCAGCTATACACAGGGAGTAACAGAAGAAATTGACCCAGTTTGGCTGCCACAGACATCTTCTTCAGGGAAGCAATCCTGAGCTGAGGCTTGAAAAATTAATAAGAAATTTAGCCTGGTAAATTGGGAGGGAAGAGCATTCTAGCCAGAAGGGGTAGCATGTATTACCTTGACATATAAAGAAAGCAGAACCAAAGTTCCAAATAATTAGACACACTTTTAAACTATTTCTATTTTTACTTTTTTTGCAATCAGCTTTCGTAGGTTGCCTTTTTTTTTTCTTTTGCAATCAGTTTTCTCAGATTGAATACACTTTTAATTTACAAAGCAAACAAAGGTTTGCCTTTCAATTACTGTCAGCTAAAGTGAGCAATGGCAATGGATTTCAGATCATCTTCACTATCGTAGATATCCTCTAAAACCTTGGGCTAGCCCATTTTTCTATCTGCAAATGCGAATAAACTGTCTAAATCCACACGGAGTAGTTGTGATGGTTATGTGAGAAGAATCCATGTTGTACACTAAGCATCATGCCTTGCACAAATTAATTTAACTATTACTAATTAATTTCCAAGTCTAGATCAGGTATTCTAGTGGAAAATTAGAGAGATCCGGTTATAGA